TTTGTGTTTTGAATGTAAATCGGATCAGTCTCATCATAGAATATAAAGTGTGTGAATGATGAGTAAGATTTATTACATCATGTTTATTAAAACAAAGAAAACTATTTCCAACCATATTGATTTTCTGCTTCAGCTTGTTTAAGATTTTTTTTTAACTTCTTACATGTTCTGGTCAGGCATGGCCAAAGCCTTGTTCAGAATCTGAAGTATTTTATATCATAACTAGAGGCCCGGTGCACAAAATTCATACACTGGGGAGGGGGGTCCCCTCAGCCTGGCCTATGCCCTCTTGCAGTCTGGAAGCCCTCAGGGGATGTTCGACTGATGGGAACAGGGGAGTGGGCCTAAGCTGGCAGTTGGATATCCTTAGTGCTGCCACGGAAGCGGGAGAGGCTCCCGCCATTGCAGCTGCGCTCGCCAGTTATGAGTCTGGCTTCTGGCTGAGCGGCACTCCCCCTGTGGGAGTGCACTGACCACCAGGGGGCAGCTCCTGTGTTGATCATCTGCCCCCTGGTGGTCAGTGCGCATCATAGCAACTGGTTGATCTGCCTTAGCATATCATTAGCATATTACACTTTGATTGGTTGAACGGACAACTGGTCCACCGGGCACTTAGCATATTAGAATCCCGATGCGCAAAATTAGTGCAAGAGTAGGCCTTCTTTCCCCCGGCTGCCGGCACTGGCTCCCTCTGGCACCCAGAACCTGGGCATCCCTCCGGCTGCCGGCAGGTACCCAGGACCCAGGCTTTCCTCCAGTCGCCGGCAGACACCCGGGACCCGGGTTTCCCTCACAGAGGGGGGCCCTGCCCACCTGCCACAGCCCACTGGTCAGTGGCCTGGGCCTCTCTCTTTGGGGCGATTGTGGAGCCCCCCAATTGATTGCCCTGCCGTCCGGTGACCTGGGCCTCCCTCTGCGGGGCGATCATGGGGCGATGGCCGGGCCTCCAACCAATCGCATTGCACCCACCTTGGCTGGCCTGGCACCAGTGGGTGTCATAGCGTAGTCCCAGATGGTCGTCAAGGTCGTCCGGATGGTCATTCCGCTGTTCGGTTTGTTTGAACCAGCATCAATACAAACATGTGTAATGCATTTCAATGTAATGTTATCGTAGCTACAATGTAACTAGGTAATAGGAATTTTCCTGCTCTATTGTGCTTTTATGGGACCACCATTGTATATGTGGTTTATCATTGACTGAAGCATCTTTATGCAGCATATGACTATATATATATATATATATATTTTTGGATTGTGTCCCATAAGTCCAGTAGGCTTTTTTTATTTGAAATTTTTTGTATGCCTCTGACTACATAACTCAAATTATCTGTCATTAAGTTCATTGGTTCTTTCTTTTGAATGTTCTAGTCTGTTGTTGAACCTCTCTAGTGGATTTGCAGTTCAGTCATTGTATTATTCTGCTCCAGCATTTCTGTTTGGTTCTTTTTATGATTCCCATCTCTTGGTTAAACTTCTTATTTGTACATGTATTGTTTTCCTGATTTAGTTGAGTTGTGTATCTCTGTTCTCTCTCTCTTTTAAAAAAATATATTTTATTGATTTTTTTACAGAGAGGAAGGGAGAGGGATAGAGAGTTAGAAACATCAATGAGAGAGAAACATCGTTCAGCTGCCTCCTGCATACCCCCCTACTGGGGATGTGCCTGCAACCAAGGTACATGTCCTTGACCAGAATTGAACCCGGGACCCCTCAGTCCGCAGGCCGATACTCTATCCACTGAGCCAAACTGGTTAGGGCTCTCTGTTCTCTCTTTTCTCACTAAGCTTTTTAAAAATGAATTTTGAATTATTTTGAATTTTTCCAAGGCAATTATTAAATCTCCATTTCTTTGGGAACAGCTACTGGAGTTTGTTTTGTTCCTTTGGTGATATCATATTTCCTTGATTCTTCAGGTGCTTTGAAACCTGACACTGTTATCTTTACATTTGAAGAAGCAGTCACTTCCTCAACTCTTTCCTAACTAGCTTCAGTGAGCCAAGCTAGAGATACTGAAGTCTCTCAGATTTTTTTTTTTCTATCAATGCTGCTGCTCCATTCCTTTTGTTCCCCTTGAGGGGGAAATCTTAGACTGTGTGCCTTCTCTTGATACCACAAACCCAGGCTGGGTGCTGGGAGCCTCCTACTAATTTTCCCTAGGGTAATGCCCTGAAGCGTTTAATGTTGTGTCCTCTGCCAATCTAAAAGATCCAGCTGGATGCTAGTATCTATATGCCGTCTGTGGAACTTGAGTACATCATCTGCAGGGGACTCTGGGGTTGGCTACAGCAGGGTGTGGTGCATGAAATGCTGGGGGTGCACACCATCTAGTTGTAGAGTCTTCAGTTAGGGGTCCTACTGGATTTGATGATGGGGCTCTTGTTGGAATCTGCTATACAATTAGTAGGATCTGCTGCTGGTTGAGATCCATGTATTGGTTGCTGTGAGCTTCTACCCTTTTCTCTGCTCTTCCCTATCCTAAAATTATTCAGCTGTTCCAGTCCTCTCAATGTTATGGGTGAGAAGAGATGGAAATGGGCTTCTTGGGCAGCATCCCACGAGTCTGGGGAAGAGGAGCGCTCACTTTGCTCTCACTTTCTCCCATGGGGAAATACTGGCCACCACAGTCTCTGTTGGCCTTGGAAGAGGGATGACTGTTCTTATCCTTGTCGGTGCTTCTATTCTTTTATTTATTTTTTGCTCCACTGGTGTGCAGGAACCTCTCAGCTATACTCCCAGGCTTTCATAAAGGTATTCTCATTCATAAGTCATTGTGAAACTCGGTTTCTGTGGGGGTATGAGGTATGGATATTCTTATTTCATCATCTTACTGAAGGCCTTAAGAGATAGTTATTAATTTCAGCGGGTCTCAAACACCCAGTGGTTTTTCATAGGACATTCAAGTTACTTTTAAAAAAACATACCTTTTTATTGATTTGATGACAAGGTTAGTGAAAACTGTTATTGAATGGGAATAGGAGGACAGTAGTCAAAGAGGAATCAAGAGGCATGTGTGGGGCTATCAGATGTCAAAGCAGGCCATGGTTTCAGTGCAGATGAGCCTGGAAAATCTTAGATGTCATGCAAGTGAAAATCCAAAGTCTAGAGAGTTTGAGGAATGGCCCTGTAGAGCAGGAAATGATATGACTTAATCCTAGAATAGAATCTGTTTTCTGACATAAAATCACGTCCTGAAATTACTAGTTTCTTCTTGCAATTCTTATAGGTGAGCAGATTTGAAGTTTAATTAACTTTTTGTATCATTACAATGCTGGAGACATGTTAACTGTTCCTGTCACTTCTGATTGCATTCGAGCAATTCTGTTGCCCTCAGTGTCTTTTCTTAGTGATGATATCACGGTGGAGACATTTTCAAAAAAGATTTTAATTGGATTAATTATTGTTATGGACATTGGAGTGGAATGTGTGTACTAAGTTAGTGAGCCAAAGGAAGATATGGTAAAAATGACAAGTGAGATAAGGAGGTAGATTTAAATGTAAATGAATTCTTGACTGATGGACAGTTGGATTATTGTCTCATCTAAAAGATTATGCATTGGATAACAAAAATATTAAATCTGGCATTTGTAAACTTTATTTCCTTTTTGAAACTAAACTGAGTTTAGTTTGAATATAAACTGAGTTTATATTTTATATTCTATAATATGTGAACATTACGTAGTGCTAATATTTTTTTTTCTCATTGCTTTAAAATTATTTCTGTTTCTGTAATAATTTTCTCCCCCTAGCCTGTTCCTGGAGTTACAGCTTTTAAAATTTAATTCTGACTACTTTTGATTCCCATATATTTATCATAATGTAATATAGTGCAATGATCAATTTAAGATTTTAGGCACACACATATACAATATACATAGAGCTCTCTCTGCATATGTGTATATTTAAAATTTAATTATATGATTATATACTCTAAATATCAATGATGTTTATTGTGTGTGTATGGATTTATACATACACATTTGAAATCTTCATTGTCAACTATATACTAGTATTTGAAGATTATTATATGTACCCATTTTATGTTAAGGATTTTTCATAGAGCTTTTATTTGATACTAACTCTTTCTCTAATTGCCACATTATGCCTAAACTTTGGAAAAGCTTCCTCTCTATTTTAATAAAGAACCCGTAGACCCTCACACCTTTCATCTTTTCTTCAGAGACTATAGATTATCTTGACTTCTTTTGCTTGGAGACTTATATCTAATGGAAACCTTAAAAATACCATGTCAATTTTCAATAGTAGGAATAGCTGGAAGTTATAATAGATCAACAGAAAGATGGAGTCTTACTTTTTCAATAAATAATTACAATTCAGAATTCTTTTTGATATGTTAGTGTTTAAGTTAATTAGAGTGTATGATTTATAGTAAGGCATAATGACATGAATATTGAATTAGATATTATTAGACCTGGATACTTGTCTGAACTTTACCATTATTTTCTCAGTGACCTTGGGTGAAACAGTCTTAGTCATTTATCATCAATTTAACAATATCTTTGCTGCCCACTTCTTTATAGTGTTGTCAGGGTTTGATTATATATGTGAAAATATTATGTAAACAATGAAGTTCTATTTAAAGGTGAGTATTATAAATAAGAATGTGCCACGCACTGTATCAAGCACTCACATTGTTCTTACAAAATGAGGCACACAATGTTAATATTAAAACTTTACAGATCAGGTAGGTGAGGCTCAGAGTACCTAAGACCCCTGAGTTAGCTCACACTGTTGATAAGCGGGAAAGGCAAGATTTGAACACAGATCTGTCTGATATTAGAACCAGTGCTCATAATTGTATAGTTTTTGTCACTGAATAATAATTGCCATATAGAATTATGCGTAAACTGAGTGAGGCAGAAAAAATGCAATTTTCTTTATTATCACATCTGACTTCTGAAGGTGAAACCAAAATGATATTTATTTTTCTTAAAAATAGGATGTTATGAAGTTCTAACCATCCAAATGTGTTTTGCCTTTAGAATTTAATTGTCTTGGATCCACTGACAGTGACTGAGGAGGAAATAAGACCATCCCTAGAGCAACGCCTTGAAGCCATCATCAGCGGGGCTGCTCTGTTGGCCGACTCTTCCTGCACCAGGGATTTCCATCGGGAGCGGATCATCGCAGAATGCAACGCCATTCGCCAGGCTCTGCAGGACCTGCTTTCCGAGTACATGAACAACGTGAGTAACTGTTGCCCCCATTCTGTACATCGGGTATGTGCCGAGTTTCTCTGTAGAACATGTGATAAATGATAAGTAAGTGTGCGATTTTCCATAGATTGGCTTGCTGAGTGGGTTCTGCTCAGGGTGCTCACAGGGTGTAGCGGTGAGATTGGATTTTCTAGGGATGGAATCTAACCAGAAGGTTGTTTACATTTGATTGCTTTGTTTGAAATAGTAACTAAATATTAGTTGAAGAAGGGATTCAGGACTGGAGAAGGGAAAGTGGAGCTGTCCATCAATTTAAAGGATAAAAAGGTTAAGAAAAGGAGCATATTCTCAGACTGAAGTTGGTGAGTATCAAAGTCAGGATGTAGATAGTATCGGATGAAGTCATTGCTGCGGGGATCAGGGACCATTTTTGAAGATGTAAAGGAGCTCATTGAGTTCGGGTGGCTCGTGACCCTTTTCAAATGTTATGAGTTGTGGCAGTTTTAACTATCTTTTGGGAATATTAGGAATGCTGTCTAAATTTAGACAAATGCACAAAAGTTTCAAGGTCTTTTTGCTTTCAGATTTTATGTATTCATATATTATATATTCATTCCATATATATACATTTTACATCCATCTGTGGAGTCTTACATTCAAATCTTAGTGCCATTTTTAAAATGAAGGAAGTCTTCATTGTCAACTGTGTATTGATCATGAAGCCTTTTTAAATAGAAGAGCTCAACAAAATGAAAGGTTTATAATTGGAATGTTTTGTTGATCTGCCTTATTATAAATGGAATAAAAATAGTTTCAAAGCATCACTTTTTGAATGTGAAACGGAAGAATTGGGATTGTTCTGTATAAGTAACTTATGTGAATAATTGGTATGTGCTAAAATTAGTGAGTTTTAAAGACTTTTTAACATGTTTGATATAGCTCCTTGTTCTTAATATTTGATGACTTTGGCACCTGAACAACAATCTCTTGTTTGTCAAGAAATCAAAGTTGTAAAGTACATTATGTTAATAAGAAGAACATGTTAATAGTGTCATGTCCTGCTTCTTAAGCTAGAATAGCCCCATTTTTAACATATAATATATTCTTAAAGGTTTTTTAAGGGAATGCATCCATTAGAAAAAACTCAGAAGGTTATATTGTATTGGAATTTCTTCTCTCCTGATCTGTGTACTTGTACATTATATTCACCTTTATAGATCAAAATAGCCTGAAGTTACATGTAAACTTATTTTATACATAAATATATAAAATTATAGATACAATTATTTTACCATATATAAAGTTATTTTATTCTTTTAGATACAAACACAAACAGATGCACATGCACATACTCATACGCATGTATAGACAAGGATGGCTACATAATTGTAGAGCCCAGTGCAAAACTGAAAATGCAAAGCCTGTTGTTCAAAAGCGGGGTTGGGGTGGGGGGTGGGAGCACCTTTTTCCTTTATTCACAGTCTCAGTTGACATGAGAAAGTTATTTTTATTTGCTATTTAGTGTTAGGTTCTCTAGAGCATAGGGATACTTGTGGGAGCATGCAGACCCTACAGGTGTTTGTGTACTTGAGCTATAACCCCAACCCACCCTGACTGTGCCAAGGACCCTACCAGGAGTGAATGGTGGCAGCAATCACTGGGTGGGGGAATAGGCTGAGGACCTCTGCCTGCATGTGAGTCTAGGGTACATGCTTCATTGCCCCATAGGACTTCGCTTAATACACAACTTCAAAGGTAAAGGTGTTAAGAATATGAACACTGTGGTAGCAGAACATTAAAAACCAAAGGACGTGTATACATGCATACAAGTATAACCAATGGACACAAACAATAGGGGCGTGAGGGCCTGTATTGGGGGACAGGAGCTGGCTGGGAGAGGTCAATGGGGGCAAAAGGAGACATATATAATACTTTCAACAATAAAGAATTTTTTTAAAAAGCCAAGGTAGGCCTTTTTGAGCAGAGGGCTCTGTGCACAGTCACAGGCCCCTGAAGCTGGTTCTGTACATAATAAACATACGTCACACAAAAATAGCAGTGTTTTTATGGTTTCTTCCACTTTGGCTTACAAACTATTTGGGTTGAAAACTATTCATACCAAAGGTGAAGTTACGGGAGCATTCTGCCTAGGGTCCAATCATTAAGAAGGTACAATGTTTCTAGAAATTTATAGAACCAACTAAAAGTCGGTCTGCCATATATATATATATATATATATATATATATATATCTGCTTTATATTATCACCATGTACCACCAATTCTAAATGTCACTGGTAAAATGTTTTCCACATAATTCTTCTAAATTCTAAGCAATTGGCTATAGTTGTTGTTTTAATAATATGTGTATATAATTCAAATTAGCACACTTTAATGACTATCCTTTAGTAAACAGTATAGTCTTTTTTGCACTGAAACAGCAGATTCAAAATTGACAGGGATGACACAATGATTACAAAGACAAAGAACTGGAGTTACTTTAATTCTGTTATTTTATGTGACCACGGAGGTTTGTTTTTAATTTAAAAATTATGATCATGGAACTGAATTTTGAGGGGTAATATTTTTGTTAGGTAAGTGTAAATTTCATTCGTGAAATATTTCATTGAATTTGAGTTATAACTTTGAAATGTATTCTCTTTTTGAAAATTGTCTATCACTTTAAAGTTAAAGAACAAATTAGGAAAATAATGATTATTTGAGATTATTGTGGAAATGTAGTTTTGTTACATAGAGGAGAGAGGTGTTTAAAAAGCATGGACTCCCGGTATCAAATATGCTAAGTAAGGCACTGAAAATAGGTTTGCACTTTTCTGTCTTCTTGCTCTTTTACTTATTGAGGATTTAATCTCATGTTCAGTTTCAAGGAGTCAAGTACACAAAACTTATGTTACTAATATCTTTCTGTTAGATATTTTCATTTTAAAACAAGGTAAGTTCTGTGTTAGAAGAGTGAAGTGGAAAGCGACTTTTTTGTTTATAATAAATTACGCAGATGAATGGTAAGTAGCTTTTTTTAAAGCTTGTCCAGATCATTATCTCAATTTTATCATGTTTAAGGGTAATCTTAATTGTAGGAACCCAAATACTTCTTGGTCATTTAGTTGATTAAATTGCATTACTATTTATACTTCATGGAGATTGTTTTCTTCTTTCTTCCTCCTTCCCCCATGTTTTCTCTTCTCCCCTCTGGCAAAGAAGGGCAAACACCCCCAGCAATATCTCCCTCATGGCATTTCCCCCTTTAGAGCTCTTATCCCAGATGGCATTCCTCTGTTTGCGTGTCTGCTTGCTCCACTAGCCAGGAGCCCTAGGAGAGTGGGGACTGTGTTCCTGGCGCTTAGCATAGCAGGTGCTCAGTAATTGTCATTTGGATACAGGTAAATTGAATTTAGTGCTTGCTGCTTCTCAGTCTTTAAAATTAAAACGACAACACGCCTGAAGCAATTAATTTGAAGTTTATTTACTGTATTTATATGATAAGTGTGGAGAGAATATGGAGGGAGGGCTCATGGTGAGAGCAGGAACAGAGGAGAGGAAAGAGCAGAGTTGAGGGGATGTTCTTGGGGTGATCTCAGAATACTATATATGCCTTTCTCTTAGAGCAAATGTCAAGTACTTGTTGAGGAAGGCATTTTTTTTCCCTTTGGAAAGAAAAGACATCGTGTGTGTGGGTTCCGTCTGATGATTCGTTCTGATGTTGGTGTAGTAGTCAGAGTGGGAGGAGCTAAATTTATGGTGGTCCACAGGGTCAGATGCCCATTCATTCACACATTATGGAAACATTTCATTGATGAGTACAACCTATTCATAATAAAAAAATAAACTTACAGTACTATGAAAAAGCACTCCAAAAGCAATGTAACAGTTTCTTTTCATGTAAAAATGCAGAATTTTATGCCTAATACTAGTGTCTGACTGAGCTAATGAATATTAGAATAAAAAGCAGGAACCAATCTGGAACACTGTGGAATAAATGATCAGAACATATTTCCAGGTTTATTTTTACTCTAGGTTTATATCACAAATGATGTTCCCCTATCGCTGTTTCATCATCTTTAATGAAAGGAAATGCACGTTCCTGGGGGACTACCTGAACTCCAATCTTTCTCGGTTCTCTCAAAGATTTTAGGACAGCTCCTGTACTTAAGTCCTCAGCTTCCTAATTTAAGGAATATTGTTTCTCTTTTGTTGGACTTGGTTTGCTTTTCCAATTAGCAGCTTTTGTAATTGAGCTATATCGATAGAGTAACTACTTGATGATAATTCAGCTACAATAAAGAGAATCATAAACACTTAAAGCAGGAATAATACTCATCAAAATCTGTAGATCTCTTATGTGAATGTGGTTTCAAGGCTTCAAATTTTGCAGGTGTAAGGAGCCCAGAGAAGTAGGAAATAAATGCAATTTATGTTTTTTTCAGACTCAATTCACATGACCAGTTTGAGTAACTTTACCTCCTTAAACAGATCAGTAAGTCTTAATCATTTTAAAAATATATATTTCATTGATTTTTTACAGAGAGGAAGGGAGAGGGATAGAGAGTTAGAAACATCGATCAGCTGCCTCCTGCACACCCCCTAACTGGGGATGTGCCCGCAACCAAGGTACATGCCCTTGACCAGAATCAAACCTGGGACTCTTCAGTCTGCAGGCCGACGCTCTATCCACTGAGCCAAACCAGTTAGGGCTCAATAATTTTTTTTTTTTACTGAAGCTATTATTCAGTAAGTTCATTTTCTTGTCACATTGGTAAGAAATTAGTAGGAAATGAGACCAGATGGGTCAATAACAAATAAAACAGACAACCACTTAGCAGTATTAATGATTATATATGTTTGCCCTAATATTTTTCTTCTTTTAAATTTGTGTGTGTGTGTGTGTGTGTGTGTGTGTGTGTATATATAATATGTGTAACAATAGACCTTTCTATTGCTACCGTAACAAATTCCCACAAACTTAGTGGCTTACATAACACAGATTATTATTTACAGCTCTGTGGGTCAAAG